AAAAAGACGAAAGAAAGTTAGGATTTGTCAAACAAGTTTTGCGATAAAATAAATAAAGAAAACAGCTATTTTTGAAAGTAAATTGCAAACTCTATATGCCCTTAATTGTCAATCAAAAGTGCAAAAGCAGGCTTTTATCAAAATGTAATAAGCTATTGAAGCAACAGCATTGCTGGTGTTTTCACACCTTAATTGGCATGCAATTCCTGAAAATATTGAAGAACATTTCTTTTCTTCTTATAGAAACATTCTAAAGCAAAAAATTTTTTACAATATAGAATTTGACGCTAAATTTAAGCAATTTCTAAAAAATATTCAGTAAAAACAAAATAATGATAAGAACTGCTCAAAAATTTTAAATCATAGTTTATTGTTCCTTCAGTAAATCATGCCGAGAATGATTTATAGTAATAAACACACTTCAGCTTCTCTTATAATCTAACACATAAATATTGTGAAGGATTAAACAGATAAACCTTGCTTATAACACAGCAATATCTTCCTCATGAATAAGAAAATTCAAAAATTGACTCAAAGAATGCTACACTTCTTCTTCAAAACAACTGATTTAGAAAATTATCACAAGTGAATACTGTTACATATGCTGTATACTGAGGAAATAGCAAAGACTATTTCAGATGAAAGGGTTTCATTGGTCGCGCCAAAAGCGCCTCCTCAATAACCTGTCCAAGTTTACAGCTAGGCATATCACATGAAAACACAGGCTAACTAACTAGGCTATATTGATTATGACGTTCGCAACACTCAAAGCAAAATAGCTGGTCAATTGTTCCGCTATTATTGACATGTTGTAACCCTCACCAACACAGGCATGCCGAACCATCAAGCTTTTGATGCAGAACAGCGAAAATAGCAAAAATTCTTAAAACTTGGCCTAACTGACAACGTACTGACTAATAAGCTCTCCATTTGCAATAACTATCTAAAATAAAGAGAAAAAAGAAAATTATACATATATATGTTCAACAAAGGCTACAAGTGAATACTCTCAAATTTTACAAAGTGAAAGGAATAAAAAAAGTGACTTTTGTTTGGGCATTGATGGATTTTACGGAGGTATTGCAAAATTTTTCAGGCATATGTAATTTTATTGGTTTCAGCCAGAAGACGTTTATTGGTTTTTCTAATAAGCTCCGTGGACAACTTAGCTTGGCGAAATGACATGTTTTTAAGGGATATTCTCTTATGGCAAATGCGTTAGCTTCAGTATTATGTAGAAAGTTTCAGGAATCTTTGATTCAGCAGTGATACTAAGATAATAATAAAGCAGTCAGCAATAAACGTTCATCCATCGTTTATTTTGCAAGTGTTAATGAAAAATTCAAGACCAATCAGTCTGATTTTCTGCAGACAATGCTTTTTTGGTCACATATGTGTTATAATCTTCCCTCAGTGGTGCTCAGTTTCTCAGTAACGTTGGTTGTATACCTCTTATAGTTGAACTGCTTATGTAACAAATATTGTCAAACAACAAATTTATTAAAAATATTGAATGTCTTTGTAAGCAAGAGATAAAATCTTTTATTTAACAGTCTTTTATTCCTTCATCTCAAAGTGAAACCTTTACTTCTTCTTTTCATAACGTAGTAGGTGAAACAGTAGTTGCCTACACTTATTTTTCACTCCTTCAAGGCTTTGTGTTTCGTCGGCGTATTCCTGGAGGCGGTGCACTACCAACTACCGCAGCTTCCTGTCCGCGAGGTGGACAAGGACAATACTGAAAGTATAGTTTCGTATGATTGCATTAGCGTTAAACCATATGTGTACTTTTTCAAAAATAAGTTGTGAAGACGTAAGAGTACAGCAAAATATGGTGTATTTACCTCAGCGTCTTTTCCTGGTAAACCTGCTGCTCCAGGGTCGCCCACTCCACCAGAAGAACCACGGCCACCTTTCACTCCAGCGTTACCTTGCTTACCTTCTGGCCCTGGAGGACCAGGAGGACCACGACTGCCGCGGTCACCGCGAGGACCAACTGGACCTCGTACACCTCGAGGTCCTTTTGGCCCTGGTGGACCAACAGTCTTGGTAGCATCAATACCCTTCTCGCCTTCAGGACCTGGCATACCTTGTGGACCTAAAAGCAACATTTAACGAATAACATTCTACAATACTTTTCCTGGTTTACAATATTCCGCAAAATAATATTGTTTTTAACATACCTGGAGTTCCTGGGAATCCCATCTCGCCAGGTAAACCTGGGTTACCGTCGCGTCCGCAAGACCCTGTCATCCCATTTAGACCTGGCATACCTCTTGGACCTGGAAGACCAGCAGCTCCTGGAGCACCCGGTGGACCTTAAAAAGTTTTTGCAATTATTCAGTAAGTGAAGAAAATTATTTTTTTATCAAATATTTCAGCGTTTTTTTTAGATTCTTTTATACAGATGCTAATAAAAAAAACTTGCCAGGCGGACATTGGAAACACATAACCATTTGTTGCTTCTCAGGCATAATATCCGCAGCGCTCTTTCCAGGATTGCCATCAATGCCTGGTTCGCCATTTTCGCCTGGTAAACCAGGGGTACCTTTCGGTCCAGGTGGACCCGGAGGGCAAGAATTTCGTAGATTGCAGGCTAAGAAGCAGAAGAAACAGTTATTACCATTGCTAATAAAAGATTCAAACATTTATATATTTGTAGCTAATATGCCATAAAGAATTGATAAAGAAGAAAAGTATTATTACATACAGCATCTTGAACTGCTCTCTGGTGCTGGTGGTTGAGCTTCTGATGGAATAGATGGTGGTTTTGCATTGCATTCGTTTCCGACGCATTTTATCAGCTTGCCTCTATCAGAAGAGTTCCGACATCGTGAGCAGCGTGGATCGTTTTCAACGCCTTCATCTGTGCAACCGGCACATTCGTCATCACTTTCTTCACTGGAAGAACTGGAACTGCTAAGGCCACCTAAATGATATTTAAAAAAAAATACTCCACATTTATCTGACTATTTTTTGTTCTAAATTTAAATAATTTTACATTTCTACTAATAAAATTAATAAGGGGTAAAGATGTTTTTTTTTTTTTAGTATAAACGATATTGCTGCAAAATTGCTAG